AAGTCATAAAAATAAACATGAAATTATAGAAAAATCACAAACAGACCATGAATGTATTTATTGGGCTCTGCACAGTTTGGACTGATGCATGGTAACAAATGTTACTAAACACTGGGCCAAATGTCTTTATTTTCAGTGCCTCCTGAGTCACAAATGAGCGATGGTGTCGGGAGGATCAGATCACGATATAGTCTAGAGTTCGTCCACATCAGATGTGGGTCCAGTCACATGCTGTGAATTCTCTGGACCATTATTATTTTTGACTTTGTTCTAGGAAGCTAGCAGCTTAAAAACTGAATCAGACATTTGTGTTTTTGCGCACCTCCAGGTGGAGTTGAGCAAACTTCAGGGATGCAGTGTGTTTGTTAGAAAAGGTTTAAAGCGTGTTTGTTTTCTGCGGGAGTGCCCTGTTCAGTGCACTCGCTCAATCTTTAACACCAACCCACGCTGGCTTCTATCTGACTGGGTCATGAGTGGACCAGAGGGACAGTGAGTGTGAGTTTGCCCTGAAGTTCACCAAGACACTCGGTGCCCTCTGTTCACACAAGCCACACGGGGAACATCTGTTCCTGGCTCAGTAACGGCGTCCTTCCCAGCGCAGACAGCTGCTTTGGCTGTGGGCTTGAAACTGAGGTCTGCAGACAGCATCTGTAACCCACACATGTTCTGTTGGTTTGTTCAAGCCCACTGAAAGCTCCAGCTGACTGATTCTGATCAAACTGTGGCGAAATTGTGCATTCACAGATAGGTTGCTGCGTTTTAAAGCTCTCCTTGTGTTAAATTCAAACATTTAAAAGATTGTTTGTGTTTTGATAGTTGCTTTGCTCACATTGCACAGCCACATCGTAAGCAGGCAGTTCTCTTTTGAGGACAAGACCCTGTGAAATAAAATCATTCAACAAAATATTCTACTTTTATTTTTGGGTTGTAGCTGGGGAAAGTCAATTTTTTTAAAACTCTGAAGAGATGGGAACACGTGTCCGTGTATGCACAGAGGCTTCTGGAAGTAGGTGAAGATGCACAGAGGTGAGTGACTGTGCAAAGAGTTTAATTACGTTTAAGCAAAAGTCTGAGGGGACAGAACTGAGATGGCATCTAAAATCGTACATGGCTCTGCA